AACGCGGGAGTTTCTCTGAATTCCCGCGGAGGGGGCGGTGCGTGTGTGTGTGTGTGTGTGTGTTTGTGTGTGCATGTGTGCGGTGCGTGTTGAGGGGGTGGGTGGGGGGGGAGGGGGCACAATTCCGAGAAACTCCTTCGCGGCCTGGAAACTGACGACGCAAGAGTTTCTGCGTACTCAAGCGGAGGCTGCAGCGTGTGTGTGTGTGTGTGTGTGTGTGTGGTGTGTGTGTGTGCGTGCGTGCGTGCGTGCGTGCGTGCGTGCGTGTGAATGTGTATGTATGTGTGTGTGTGTGTGCGTGTGTGTGTGTGTGCGTGTGTTTGCGTGTGTGCGCGGTGATGTGTGGTGCGTGCGTATTTTTTGGGGGGGGGGGCGCAAGTTCGAGAAACTGCTGCGCGGCCTAGAAATTGACGGCGCTGGAGTTTCTCTGAATTCCCCTGGGGGGCAGTGCGTGTGTGTATGTGTGTGAGATCCTCAAGAGTGTGTGTGTGTGTGTGTGCGTGCGTGCGTGCGTGCGTGCGTGCGTGCGTGCGTGCGTGCGTGCGTGCGTGTGTGAGAGAGAGAGAGAGATCCTCTGGAGTTGGTCCCTTTGGGGCCCATTTCGAGAAACTCCTCCGCGGCCTAGAAACTGGCGGCGCAGGAGTTTCTCGAAATGCCCCGATGCGGGGCGGGGGGCGAGCGCAATTTCGAGAAACTCCTCCGCGGCCTAGGAACTGACGACGCAAGAGTTTCTCGAAATGCCTCGCTGGGAGAACGGGGGGCGATCTTAATTTCGAGGGGCTGCCCCGCTAAGGACAGGCGATTAGACGAACCTCAAAACGCCGCGCTGGGGTAGGGGCCGCAATTTCGAGAAACTCCTCCGCGGCCTAGAAACTCGCCACGCGGGAGTTTCTCGACATCCCCCGTTGGGGGGCAGGGGGGGCGCAGTTTCGAGAAACTCTTCCGCGGCTTGAAAACTGACCATGCAAGCGTTTCTCGAAATTCCGCCCGCTTCGTCCCCTCTCATTGAAAGCCGCTGAGTTTCTCAAAAAAAAGCTTGGTTGAAACCTATTTTGAGAAACTCCAATTCCGCTTGCTTACCGGCCCGCAGAGGAGATTCTCAAAATTCGGCCGCGGCGACAAGCGGAATTTTGAGAAACTCCAGTTCCGCCTGATGAATGGACTGCAGAGGAGCTTCTCAAAATATGTTCTAAACACGCAATTCCACGAAACGCCTGTAACGCCACGTACCGGCCCAAGAACCCCGAAAATCGCCCCAAGATCGCCCAAGAGGCCTCCAGGATGGCCGGCTCCGAAGACGGCCCAAAGACGGCCCAAGAGGCCTCTAAGACGCCCAAGAAAGCTTCCAAGACGGCCCTGGAGCATTCAAAGAGGGCTCCACGAGGCCCCCCAAACAGCTTCCGACGGCGTCAGACGGGCCAAGAGCCCACCAAGACGGCCCAAGATGGCCCTAAGATGGCCCAAGAGGCCTCCAAGAGGTCCTCCAGGAATGCCCGAAGAGGCCAAAATCACTGATTTTCTTTATGTGTTTGAGAATGTTGGCATTTGCTTCTTTTCGGCCTAGCGACGGCCCGAGACGGTCCAAGAGGCCCGCAAAGATCGCCACAAGATCGCCCAAGAGGCCTCCAGGATGGCCCCAGAACGGCCTAAGAGGCCCCCAAGACGAGCCCAAGAGGGCCCTAAGACAGCCCACGAGGCATCTGAGACGCCCAAGATGTACTCCAAGACGGCCCTGGAGCACCCCACAAGGGCCCCAAGTCGGCCCAGAGAGGCCCCCAAGACTGCTTCTGACGGCATCAGACGGGCCAGGAGCCCACCAAGACAGCCAAAGAGGCCCCCGAGACGTCCCCGAAGGCCCCCAAGAGGCCCAAGGAGGCCCCCAAGATGCCTCCTAGAGGCTCCCAGGAAGCTCCCAGGAGGCCCCAAGGGTGTCCCAAGAGGCTCCCAAGATGCCCCCTCTTCCTCCTCCTCCACCTCGTCCTCCACCTCCTCCTCCTCCTCCTCCTCCTCCTCCTCCTCCTCCTCCTCCTCTTCCTCTTCCACCTCCTCCTCCACCTCCTCCTCCGCCTTCTCCTGATCTTCCCCGCCATCCTTCCCCAAGTGTTCCCCGAAGGGTTTCCACAACGGTTTGGGAACACATGGTCCGATAGCTTGGCAGAGCTCTTGCCACAACGCTACGCCATATGGGCGAATCTAGAATGCAGGGTGCGGCGGTGATTTGCCGTAGGCGTCTTCGATCCGCCGCCCTGGCTGTGCTTGTCACAGGGGCGCCCGAAGTGTTAGGCGCTACCGTTGTTGGTTTTGGGTATTTTTCCACACGAACTCCCCTGGGGCTCCGGCCCAGCCCGGCGGCCACCCAGAAGGGCGCACAAGGCCCGGAAACGACCTCAGCGTCCACAAACAATAATCTTCGGGTCAAAGCCTTTACCGCTCCAAGATGGCCAAAGATGGCCTCCAAGATGCATCCAAAATGGCCTCCAAGACGGCCCCAGAGGGTCCAAGATACTTCCAAGTCCGCCCAAGAAGCCTCCAAAATGGCCCAAGACGGACCAAGAGGTGCCCGAGAGGCCTAGGCCTCCGACAGGTCCTCCAGAAGGCCCGAAGAGGCAAAAATCATTGATTCTTCTGAGGTGTTTGAAGGAGCTTCGCATTTGCTCCGTTTCGGCCTTCCGACGGCCCAAGACGGCCCAAGAGGTACCCAAGATCGCCCCAAGATCGCCCAAAAGGCCTCCACGATGGCCTCAGGATTGCCCAGGAGGCCCTCAAGACGGCCCCAAGAGGGCCCCAAGACAGCTCACGAGGCATCCGAGACGCCCAAGGAAGCCTCCAAGACGGCCCTGGAGCACCCCAAGAGGGCCCCAAGTCGACCCAGAGAGGCCCCCAAGACGGCTTCCGGCCCAAGAGGCCTCCAAGAGGGCCTCCAGGAAGGCCCGAAGAGGCTCAAATCATTGTTTTGTTTTAGCTTGTTGAGAGATGTTGGCATTTGCTTCTTTTCGGCCTTCCGACGGCCCGAGGCGGCCCAATAGCCCCCAAAGACCGCCACAAGATCGCCCAAGAGGCCTCCAGGATGGCCCCAGAACAGCCTAAGAGGCCCCCAAGACGGCCCTAAGAGGGCCCCAAGACGGCCCAAGAGGCCTCCAAGACGGCCAAGATGGCCTCCAAAAAACTCCTGGAGCACCCCACGAGGGCCCAAGTCGGCCTAGAGAGGCCACCGAGACGGCTTCCGACGGCGTCAGACGGGCCAGGAGCCCACCAAACGGCCGAAGAGGCCGCAAAGAAGCTCCAGAAGGCTCCCAAGAGGCCCAAGGACGCCACCAAGATGCCTCCATGAGGCTCCCAGCAAGCTCCCAGGAGACTCCAAGAGCGTCCCCAGATGCTCCAAGATGCCCCCTCCTCCTCCTCCTGCTCCTCCTCCACCTTCTCCTCCGCCTCCTCCTGATTTTCCCCGCCATGCTCCCCCAAGTGTTCCCCGAAGGGTTTCCACAACGGTTAGGGGGAAAACATGGTCCGATAGCTTGGCAGGGCTCTTGCCACAATGCTCGGCCACATGTGCGATTCTAGAAGGCAAGGGGGCGGCGGTGATTGGCCGTAAGCGTCCTTGATAACGCCAACGTCTCAATATGCGTTGATGAGTCCTATCCGTCCCCGCATGATGTTTCCAGATTCGCCAAGTCAGCGCCGAGACACACCGATGCGACTCTGAGATATCCCGTTCTGATAGAGCGGGGGCCGGCGGCAGGTAGCGAAGCCCTTACGGATGAAAGACAAGGGGAGGGGGTGATCCACAGTAGGCGTCTTCGATAGGAAGGACATTAAGTTTGGAGCAGTTTTTTCACCATGGAGCCCCCCACAGGGGCGAAAACACATGCCACAGCATACATACAACTTCAGCAAACAACAGCAAACTAGAACGCCCTAAAGAAGGCCAACCAGCCAAGCAACACGCCCAAAGATAGCCAAGCCCCCCCCAGTATTGTCAAGAGACCTCCAAGGCGGTCCGAAGACAGCACAAGAGAGCCTCCAGACCTTTCAAGGAGGAGGTCACAAGATGGCCCAAGACGGCCCCGAGGATCCCAAGACGGCTTAAGAGGGCTTCACGAGGACGCCGAAGAGGCCCTTGCTTGATTGCAAAACGCATTGTTGCTCTGTTTCTACATCGGCAAAATGAAACAGATTTGCCATTTCTGGCCTCCGAAAGCCCAAGATGGCTCACATTGCCTCCAAGACCAAGATAGCCCAAGACGGGCCCAAGACGGCCCAGGGGGGGCTCCAAGACGGCTCTCAAGACGGCTCTCAAGACGGCCCAAGATGCCCCCAAGACGGCCCAGCACGCCTCCAAGAAGATTTCCAAGAGGGTCCCAAGAGGGGAACACTGAGCTGGCAAAGACAGTACAGATGTGCCTCCAAGATCCACAGCATGCCCCCGTGAGGACCCCAAGAGACCCCCCGACAGAGGCCCCAAAGATAAGACCCCCCCAAAGGCCCAAGAGACCCCCACGAAGCCTCCCAGAGGTGCCCCTACAGACCACCAACGGCCTCCCAAACGGACCTAACAGGCTCCCGAGAGGCCCCGAAGGCCTTGAATAGTCATCTATAACTCAAGCTCCTTCACGTTGCGCTGTTGCGCTTGGGCGGTAGCGGGGTTTGCCGTAGGCAAGTGGATATTGCACTACACTGCATGCACCGCACTGCTTGCACCGTATGTCTCTACACAACTTACACAATGCAATGACTCAGCACCAGAGCGACGCAACGAAACGGGACTTACGCGAGATGGCATAGCGACCCAAGGCGGTGGCCTGCGCGGGCCGCCAGCGCGGCACGCCAAACTAGAAACGAAGGCGCTCGCATGCGACCCTACGCGGGCAGCTTACGCGCGACCGTCGGCACAAGCGGCCCCTCTCTGCGCCGCTCACCCGTCCACCGGGGAGAGGGCGAAGGCGAAGGTTGCCCCAGCATCACCAGAAGTGGCCACTGCGTGGAACAAAGAGCTCCCTGACCTGCTCGTTCGCCGCTGGCTGGCTGCAGCCGCAGATCATCGCGGCGCCAGCTGGCGCATCGTTTGGGGGCGGGCCGCCGCGGCCACCCAACAGGGCGCGCCACGGCTGCACTCTGCTGCGGCGCGCGGCACGGCCGAGCAGAGACGCGGCCGCGGGTGATGCGGCCCCAGTGCACACGCCGCGCCCACCAACGAGCGCGAGCGGCGCGGCGCACGCGAGGTTGAGCAGAACACATCGCAGGACGCAGGCCCGAAGGACGGCGAACAACACGCGACACGAGCATGAACACTTACGCCAATGCACGGAGCACGTGCAATCAACACGGGCACACATCAAGCAAATAGGAGACGTGAAACCAAGACTGGAGGAACACACAACTGCATGAAGATGAACTTTCGGAGATTCGCGCGCATTTCTTTGATCTGCGCTGGGGCCCCCTGGCATGCTCCGCACGTCAGAGAAGAGGGTCCAACGCCGATCCTCGAAATCCGCGCGGACCTACGAAAGTCTGTTTATGCTGTCAATCGACTTCGAACGACAGCCCAGGTGCGAAACTCATGCCCGAAACAATGTGTGCACACAACGCGCTGCTCCGCTCACGAGTTCCCGACCACGAGGAGCAGTTTCGTGGCAAGACCACAATTGAGTACTGCCAGGCTGTACATGCCACGCCGAGCATTGGCTTTGCAACGTACTCGGCGGTACCATTACCTTTCTGTTCCTCCTCCAGAACCTGAGCTGTGATTATTACAGCCAGGAGCATCACGAGGGGGGCAAGATGTGCGAGGGAGGACCGCAGAATGGCCGATTGAGACCACGACCGCCCGACCCAACTGCGCTCAAAATCGGTACCTGGAGCCTCCCCGGTGGCCATCCAAGCGCGTTTTTCGACGCGGATTCCGCCTCCGCGGCGGCCCAGAACGGAGGAATCCAGGAAGGCCGTCGCTGCCTCGCCTGGCCCGAGAGAAGCCCGGGGCCCCAAGAACCGCGAGGTGACGGACCGCGCGGTGGCCTCACCGCGCGGACGGTCACCGCAGGGTCCTGTCGGGACCCCCGCGGCCCCCGCCGCCCGAGACGCCCTCGGAGGACGACCCGAGCCCCAAAACTGCGTGGTGGCCCCAAATCCCCACGGACTCACCACGCGGTGTGGTCCCTGCACCGTCGGGGGGCCCCCGAGGAGAGGCCAGGAGCAGTCAGCGTCGCATCGGCACATCGGGTCGAACCGAGATGTGCATCGGGTCGGGCTGCATCGGCACGGAATCGAAACCAGATCGGATCGGCTGCGCCCGGATGCTCTACAACGCCACACAAGAACATCGGGCCGCACCGGGCCGGCGGCATCCCGGGGTCGAAGCGGATCCAGCAAGCCGGCATCGACATCAAATCGGCTCGATCGGATATTGAGATGGAACCTGGGAGGGTGTGCCCGCCTCCGCCTGCTCCCCCCCCCCCCTCGACGCGCGTTGTCGCCGTGGGCCATGGGCTAGGAGGGGGAGGAGGGCGAGGAGGAGGGGGAGGAGGAGGGGGAGGAGGAGAAGGAGGAGGAGGAGGAGGAGGAGGAGGAGGAGGAGGAGGAAGTGAGGAGGAGGAGGAGGAGGAGGAAGGAGGAGGAGGAAGGAGGAGGAGGAGGAAGGAGAAGGACCCCTGGGAGAACGACGGACGGAGCAGCCCGGCACGCTCAGACGGCGCGGGCCCTCCGGCCCAGCGCGCGGCGGTGCTCCGCGCTGGCAGCGCACACCACCCGCCGCGCCGCGGGGGAGGCCTCTGCCGCCGCGGTGAGGCGCCGGTACCACCACCTGAGCGACGACAGACAGAGTGGTCTTACAGGAGATGAGATGTGTACGTTTGTAGTTATAGACGCACTTATATGTGTTTATATGGATAAATACACATATAGAGTGAGAGAGAGACACCAATATATATATATATATATATATATATATATATATACATATATATATACATATACATAGATGTGTGTGTATATATCTATATATATACACAGTACGGACGCGGGCGCAAGAAAACCTTCATTTTTGTGTCGCTCACCCGTCGGGGGCCCCCAAACCCAACAAAAAACTAGAGTCGTCGCAAAAGTCGTCACGGGAAACTTTCGGTCAATTCTCGCTCCCGGGAGCCCTCGCTGGGCCTCGGGACCGTCAGAACACGGCTCGGGATGAAAGACCAGTCCAGGGAAGGGGTTCGAGACCTCCGAAGGTCCGCATTGTGAGCTCCTGCACCCCTGAAGGGGAGGCAGGACGAGGAGGACGACGATGCGGCATTAAGTCGGGACCGACTGCAGAGGACATCAGAAGAGGGCACGGCCTCCTCACAGGGCAGCCCACGCCACAGCCAGAAAGAGGACGTGCGACGAGAACGACACGACACAAAGAGGCACCCTTGACTCTTAGGATACCACTGCTGGGCAAGTGACCCTTGAGCCAGATTTGGCCAACTTGAGCTCTGGATCACATCGGATTGAGCGGAATCAATCGGAATTAATCGGGGTTGTGCTGAAATACCAGTGCCGATGCTAAGTGGAACCCCCAAGAATTCCACCAGCCCTTTGGGCGACAGATGGTCTAAGGAGGGTCTCTTTCCTCTTCCACAACCCCTCTTCTCTTCGGGGAGGGGAACCCTCCCCCTCCCCTCTCTGAGGTTTTTTGGGAACGCGTCACGAGGTGTCAGAGGGTCCTTTCTCGGCCCCTGGAAGGGCCAATGTTTGACACCCCTCACGAGCATCGTGGCCTCCGAGGGGGAGCTACATTTAGTACCCCCCCTCTTTTGACCGACCGCCTCCAAGATGGCCCCAAGAGGCGCTCCAGTGCTCCCCAGAGGCCCCCAAGAGGGCTCCAAGAGCGCCCTAAGAGGCCCCAAGAGGCCCCAAGAGGCACCCGAGAGGCACCCAAGAGGCCCCCGCGCGGCCTCAGAGAGCCCAAGATGACTTCCAAGATGGCTCAGATAGCTCAAGCTGGCTCAAGATGGCTCCCAAGATGCTCCATGCGGGCCCCAAGACCGCTCCAAGACGGCTCGAGATGGCCACGGAGCCTCCCAAGCCTCCCTCGCTGTTTCACTATGCGTGTCTCTTCCTCTCTCCACCGTTGAACTCTCATGGGCATCGTTTCTGTCTGGATGGGCTGGTGGGGATACTGTTTTGATCGCGACAGCGGCGAGAAGATCGGGAGGCGTCAGGGTCCGAGGTCATCACTAGGCGGCGAGCGACGGGGGGAAGTGAGAAGGGGCGGGGCTTCTCAGAAGGCTCGGAAGTCCCCGGGCCTTCTGAGAAGTTTTCTAAGCCTTCGCCGAAAACACAAAAACTTCCCAGAAGGCGCGAGGGCTTCTGAGCGCCGCCTTCTGAGAAGGCCTGCTCCTTCTCACTTCCCCCCCTCGCTCGCCGCCGAACCACACAACCTGTCACCGCACCGCTCCCAGACCACCTGGGGCTCAGGAGGGGGCTGTGGCCGAGACTCGCAGTGGCCAGCAAAGCCCTTCTCGTTCCTTGTTGAGCCTCGAGTCGGGTCTGTCCTCCTACAGGGGGATTTGGGACGCACATATAATTAAAAATACTAAAAAGATACCCTCAACAGGCCCCAAAAATGGTCAACAAATAGTTCCCAGACTGTGTTTTGACTGTTTCTAAATCTTCCCCCTGCGCAGGGACAGGCCCGACTTAAGTTTAGACTCCCTTCGAGAAGCACGGTGGCTGCATCCCCCCCGAAGCGCTGCCCCTCGCGAGGAAGAGCCCGAGCCCTGGCCGCTGCAAAACCGCGAGCCGGCGCGGCCCTCATCCGCACGTGCGCACGCGCACGTGCGGAGGAGGAGGAAGAGAGAGGAGGAGAAGGAGGAGGAGGAGGAGGAGGAGATGGAGGAGGAGGAGGAGGAGGAGTGAGGAGTGAGGAGTGAGGAGTGAGGAGTGAGGAGAGAGGAGAGAGGAGAGAGGAGAGAGGAGAGAGGCCCTCCGACGAAGTCGACGTCGTGGACCTTCAGGGATGGGGGGGGCGGTGTGCATCGAGTCGCCGGCTCCCAGAGGTGGTGATATCTGCACGCCGCCGCGCCCTCCCCCTGGGAGGCACGGGAGCGACCCCAGTGGGGGGTATCCGTGTACGGCAGGTTCGCGTCGTGCCGACCCCGGCGTTGGTTTTTGACACCGCGCTGGATCGTTCAACCTTGAACGATCGTACGTGGGGGGTATCCGTGTACGGCAGGTTCGCGTCGTGACGACCCCGGCGTTGGTTTTTGACACCGCGCTGGATCGTTCAACCTTGAACGATCGGCCGCTGCCGCAAGGTCCGATCGTTCAACATCGATCGATTCTGGGCCGCCGGCGGCGTTCAACCTTGAACGCCGGCGCTGGGGTCGCCGCCGGTCGACACGACGCGAACCTATCGTATCTATTTTGTTTGGTGGCGGACATCGGAGCTCGTCGCGCCCCTCGGCGGTGGACAAACCGCCCTTTCGTAAACCTCCCCTGAAAGAAGACGGCCTGGGACCGAAAGCGACGGACCTGGACCCGCAAGAATGACGGCCGCGACGCCCTCTCGCGAACCGAAAACGGCCAATTCCTTAATCGACGTGTCAGGGTAGGAGGTCTGTCCGCCCCCGAGGCCCGCTTCGCTGAGCCTTCCAACGACGGGCCTCAACTGTCGGGGTTCGCTGGAGGGGCCCCTGGCCCAAGGTGTGTTCCAAGCTGTTCGCTCCAGTCTGGAGCCGCGGGGCTCCCTCGGCCCTCGAGCGGTGCGCCTCGGAGACCGTGGTGGCCTCCGTGGAAATCCTGGAGACACCCTGGGCTGAGGACATCGGGCCCCAGACACTGCCGTGGATCGGGCCAACGGCGATGTTGCTTCAAGGTGATTCCAGGAAATCGCGAACCACACTTTCCTACCTCTCCTATCTTTGAGTCGGGCGTGTCCCCCTACAGGGGCATGTTGGAAGAAAAATGAATAACAAAGTCAAACGAATCCCCAACATAGTTTAAAATGCCCAAGAAATCGTCCCCCGATTATCTTCACTATTCTAAAATGTTCCTCCAATGGAGGAACAGGCCCGACTGAATCGTACCTGCGAATGGATCGAGCGAGCACGACACAGCGAAATTGCAGGAAAGCGCGAGCCAAGCG